AATGAATCTGCATGGTACTGCATGTACTGCTGTATACATGACACTATGCATCTGTCAAAATCCACAAAGAATGAAACTTAATGTACAGAAGTTAAATTAAAAAATAAACCAAGAGCTTTAGCTGGTTTGGCTCAGTGGATAGAGTGTCAGATTGCAGAGCAAAGGGTCCCAGGATCAATTCCAGTCAAAGGAACATACCTCGATTGCAGGCTCCACCCCAGCCTGGGCCCTGGTTTGGCATGTGCAGGAGGCAAACAATTGATGTGTTTATCTCACTTGAATAATTCTCTGTGTCTACCCCCCTCTCTCTTCCCTCTCTAAAATTCAATGGAAAAATATTTTGGGGTGAGGATTAAAATAAAAAAACAAACAAACCAAGAATTTTGGGGATCCCAGGACGGAATGCAGACCGTGAAGAAAGAATCTCAACCATATTACAAATGCATGAGAAAACCTCATTAGAGGGAGTTAGGAGGAAACAACTGACCTAAGTAACTTTGGAAAATAGTGTTTTGACTTTGAAACTGTAAGACTAATGTTAAACCAAACTGTACATAAACACCACACCGTAGCTGGTAATGTTGAATTTCTCAAGGGGGTGGCAATTTAGAAGCTGCTGTACTTGTGTGCTGAGATTGCACAAATGAGTGAATGGCGGGAGCCAAAATTCTCTCACTTTGGAGAAGGAAGGTATAGATAAGCAAGGGGGAGAGGTGAGATTCTCCATATGGGAGAAAATATTTGCTAATGTTAGCTCTAATACGGGATTAATATCCAAATTAACTGACAAAAGGAAGAGAAACAATCCAACAAAAATGGGCTGAAGGACCAATTAGACATCTCTCCAGTAGAATGACCAAGTTGTGGTACAATCATAGAGTGGAACACCCTGAGACAAAATAAGAAAAACAAGTGCTACACACAGAGGAGTGCATAAATCTAGCCAAAATACTTTTCTTTAATTCTTTAATTTTAAATATATTTTTTATTGATTTCAGAGAGGAAAGGAGAGGGAGAGAGAGAGAGAAACATCAATGATGAGAGGGAAGTATTGATTGTCTGCCTCCTACTAGTAATGCCTCTGACTGAGGATCAAACCTGCAATCTGGGAATGTGCCATGCCTGGGAATTGAACTGTGACCGGCTGGTTTATAGGTTGACCCTCAACCACTAAGTCACTCTGCCTGGGCTCACCAACATACTTTTAAACGATGAAAGTACACAACAAAGGTGTATAAGATGTATGTGATTTTATTCCTATGAATTTAAAGAAATGATCATTAGAAACAGGGCATATTAATCACCAGCATATGGTTACCTTTTGGGGAGAGGAGGTTAGACTTGGGACAGGGTAGGCAATCCTGAGATCTAGAGGTATGAGTATGTTACATTTGTGTTATGAAATAGAACATTCTTTTGACAATTTCTTCACCATTTTCCATAATATTAAGAAATCTCTGGACAGGGAAGCTATATTTTTGGGTCAGTATCATGGAACCGTATCCTTTCACTGTGTTCCCAAATATTATTTCATTTACGGTTTCCTACCTTCTGGATTCCAGGGACCTCTAAGAGCATTATTTCCCCAGTTTGATACATATGGAGACACAAAATTGCTATCAGATAACAGCAATTTCTAAGATGTGGGGAGTAAGCTCAAATGACCTTTTAATTTTAGCTCACTCTGTAAAAATCATTTATGTTCCTGATTAAATATGAAGCTTTGCTATAATTTCAAAAATATGCTCATTTTCAATGACACTCATTTCTTTTGTTGTGTCACCTAACATATAGCTAGTTTGAAATTTGCTTTTCAACACAACTCTACACTATTCAAAGCTTATCACATCATACAATTAAAGTTGGTTAGCGAAATCATCTTTAAATTACGCATCCAAACAGCTACACAGAAAGCATGCTATGATAATACAATATGTAAAGGAAGGGGAAATAAAGATATGGAGGAGAATTAAAGAATAAAGACACATTTAGAGAAAATGGAAAGAACAGATCTGAGGTATCTTAGAGTTTGGGGGCTTGTACCTGATTCTGGGCTTTCTGTATTTTTCAACTTGATAAAATTAAACACACACACACACACACACACACACACACACACACACATGCAGAGGCAGGAATACAGAATGAAAACCAGGCTGCAGCCAGGCCCAGCTGCCACCTGCTGGCTGACTTCTATACCACCACTCTGCTGAGCCTCTGCAGCATGGCCACCACCAGGCAGTTCAGATGCTCCTGCCAGTGGAGCAGAGGAAAGGGACACCCTTCCAGGTGCTCAGACACATCACCCAGCCCTTCTCCTGGGTCCACACTGAGTGGGTGATGGAAATTGTGTGTTAAATAATACACATTATGCAGTGAAAACAGTAATATAAACCCACAGGCATTTTCTGACCAGGTTATATAGTTTATTTTAAATGTAATATTAATCAGCATAATTTCAATAGTTGCAAGTTCTTTAAACGTGAGTTTGAAAGTCTGAAGCAAGACAAGCACATATCACTGCTATTACTTAACATTGTTCTGAATTTCCAACCAACACTTTTAGAAAGAGAAAGGATTAGAGGTATGAAACATGTCAATGCTGCCTTTACTTTGTAAAATGTACTTTATCTAGAAAAACACTTAATAATTCACTAAGATATCTAGTTATCTAAATGCTGAAAATTTAATGGTTTTCATATAAAAATGATACAATAATTTTATTTTGCTTATATTCATGAGAATGCCATATGGAAATAGCCAGGAATATACAGGGGGAAAGGATTTAATTTAATTTCACATGAAACAGATTTTCAAATATATCTGCAAACCAAATAATCAAAGCAAAGTGGTCCTGCCACAGTAATTCGCAGGCAGACCAGTAGAACAGAATAGTGTATATTTACATGTCTATATCTTTCTATATACCTATGTATGTATCTATTCTCATACCTTTTTTTTTTGTTAATCCTCACCTGAGGATATTTTTCCATTGCTTTTAAGAGAGAGAGAAACCTATGTGAGAGACAAATTTGTTGGTTGCCTCCCAAACACATCTCAACTGGGGGCAGGGATCAAACCTGCTACCCATGTAGGTGCTCGTGATCAGGAATTGAACTCAAGAACCTTTGGAGTGTAGGCCAATGCTCTAAATACTGAGGACAGCAGCCAGGGTTACACAGGTATCTTTATATTTCCATCTATCTATCTATCTATCTATCTACCTACCTACCTACCTACCTATCCCTTCATTCATACATCCACTCATACATCCATCAACCCTGATAGCTAAATAGGAGATTCACTTGAACCTGGAGCAACAGGAAAGAATTTAGGATTTTCCAAGAACAAATGCAGACACTACTTGGAGCAGCAGTGCTCCAAATTATAAAACATTTATTCCATGTAAGCCCTCGTTCAAATGAAATAGCTAAACTTAAAAATACAATTTTACTTGAAATTAGTAAGAAAGTCTCTTAGAGATGTCAGAGTTAAATATACATGTATAAATATTGCCTGCTACATGATGCTGCCCACTCTCACATAAAGAATGGCAACTCCTTTCTCACGCCAGATGTAGTATAAGAGTCCAGAGGTAGAGTTCTTGCAGAGAATGTAGAAGTCACAGTCTCACGGTGGCTCCCGACCACCTCTGGCAGACAGAAAATAAGGAAAGCAAAACTTATTTCTTCACAAATATGCAGTCCAGTGCAGTGTGCTCCTCACAGCTGCCCAATCATCCCTGTTTGTTTCAAGACCCTTCATTGCTTGGGGCTCCTAGAGGGAGTGGTACTGATGGTGTAGGGCAGTGATGGTGAACCTATGGTGTGCCTGTCAGAGGTGACACGCGAATTCAATTTTTTGGTTGATTTTTCTTTGTTAAATGGCATTTAACTATATAAAATAAATATCAAAAATATAATTCTTTGCTTTACTATGGTTGCAAATATCAAAAAATTTCTATATGTGACACGGCACCAGAGTTAACTTAGGGTTTTTCAAAATGCTGGCACGCCGAGCTCAGAAGCTTTGCCATCACTGGTATAGGGGGAGCCAATACAGGCGCAGATATATTTCTTCTCCCAGCAGGAACCTCTCTTCCCAGGTGTGTGGACCTGATACTGAGAGTTCTGTCCCAATTCTCCAGTTCCCAACCCGTCCTACTCTGTATTGAGGAGGAGGAGGGTAAAGGAAGAAGCAAAGCAATAAACGGACAGGGGAAAGAGCCCTGCAATGTACATAGGTGCCAAAGAGTTCTGTAGGGATGGTCTCTGTCCCGCCACCTAGGAATGAACGAAGCTCAGTTGGATTCTTAGTCAGAGGAGTCCCCCGAGGTGATGAGCTGGAGCTGCGGGCATCTTCATCGCTACTGCTGGAGTCTGAGGAGCTGCTGCTTTCTGCCCTTCCCCCATGTTCCTTCTTTGCTTCAGATCCCCGTGAGGAATGAGAACAGTCCCCATTTGTCTCTGAAGACGCCATCCCAGGAGCCTGTGGCCCTGCTGTTTAAAATAGCCCGCAGCCTTAGTGCCAAAGCACTAGCTATGCGTTATGGAGATAATGTATCTGTTAGATAAGCTTTCATAAGGACTGAGCTCTATTGCTATTGGCCATGAATTCAATGTTAATAAATAAACAATATATATTAACTAAGATGTCTTTATTTATTTCTTTTGTGATTTATCACTATGCTTTAATTATGTTCAATTTGTAACAATGAAATTGGGGGTCACAACAACACGAATAACTGTATTAAAGGGTCGCAGCATTTAGGAAGGTTGAGACCACTGGTCTAAGGTTTATTTCTACCTGAATTGCTGGCCCCTACCCAGCCTGGCCCTGTTCTGTCTTGGGCAGGAGACAATTGATGTGTTTCTCTCACATCGATTATTTCTGTCTTTCCCTCTCTCCCCCACTATCTCAAAACATCAATGGGAAAATATCCTTGGGTGAGGATTAAAAAAACAAACAAAGGTGGGTAAGCTGGTCAGAAGGTCAAATCTTCAAAGTGCACGCCAGCTGCTCCTCCCAGAGGGTCCGGACTGAATGTTGGAGAGCATCTCCAGGAAGGCCTTGGGAGATGGTGCCTCCACATTCTGGAAGGTGTTCTGGACTCTGCCAAACAGGATGAAGTATTTCATCTCCAGACCGATGAACCCCAAGTGGTTCTCATCGAACAGGATGAAGACTCCAGGGAAGCGCCTGGGGTAGGTGATGGAACGGTTGGTAACACTGTAAACGCCATAGAAACACATCCTGCAGGTGCTGGGGTAGTTGTGGAGTCTTGAGCGCATGCCCACAGGCAGAACAAACGGAACAGGCTGCTCCTCCGAAGCTGCAGCCCCGGACTCCCCGACGCCGGGCTGGGCAGGGCTCTGCCAGCCATGGCCCTCGCTTTCCTCAGTCCCGTTTTCTTGCTGCTTGCTCCCGGATCACCTGATCCTCAATCTCCAGGACCACGCGGTAGAGTTTGTTGAAGTTGCGGAAGATCTTGCCATCTCCCAGCTGGATGCGGCGCATGAGGTGGATCTCTATCGTCTCGTTGTAGTTTCCCGTGATCTCGGTGACCCTGGCATACTCCCCATGGAAGCTGAGCATGGCAATCATTAGGCCGAAGCGATGGTATTTGCCTTGGAAGAGGCCTGGCCTGATGAGGTCGTCCGGGTGGTTGGGCGGGAGGTAGAGGCGGCGGTAGGTCAGGCAGTCATACCGCAGTCTGTCCTTCCGCACCAGCACCTGCCCCCACTCCTCCCTAAGCCGCGTTGGTGAATCCTTAAGGTGGTCTGTCTTGTTGCACTGGGTGCTGAACCTGTCCTTCCGAATCTGCATGTGGCGGCTGTGGGGCCTGCTGTGGCGGCCTTCCATGCACTCCACCGCGGCTGATTTCGTCTCCGTCAGGCGAATTCTGAACGAGGGCTTGGATTCCACTGGGCCCTGCACATGGGTTTTATCGGAAGGCGTGTACGTCCAACCAGTAATGCATAAGCCGTCCACCACTACATTCAGCAGTGTTCCATGGCTATTATCTAGTTGCCACAAACCCAAAATGTTTCTGTATGGGAAGATCTTCGCATAGAATTCTCGATAAGACATACCGGTCATGTCCAGGTTCTGCAAGTTTTCACGAAGGCCATACTCCTCCCGGCAGCGCCGTCTCCAGATGCTGTCGTTGTGCAGGATGTGGTGGAATTTGGTGCAGGCCTGGGCCAGGCTGGGCAGGTCGGTGGCGGGGAGCAAGGTGAAGATCTCCACCAGCATCTCCACAGGCAGGTCCTGCAGTGAGCAGTGCGGGGGCAGCATGGGGCTCTCGATTCCTCCACTCCCCGCACAGCACCGCGCTGCCGTGTCCACCTCGAGGTGCTTTTCTGCAGGGGCTCGCTTGCCTTCGGCCGCTGCAGTCTCAGCTGGGCCCTGGCTCCTGAGGACACCGACTTCCCCGCGAAGAGCCCACGCCGCAGAAGCAAGCGCACTCCTCCATGCCTCCACGTGTAACAGCCAGCACAGTGTGGGCCATGGCGCCTCAGCAGGGTTTTAAGCTGACTGGGTCCTCCCTAGAGTCCAGCCACGCCCCCCAGGGCCTAGAAACGCCCCCTCAGAGAGGAGCTAATTGTAGGACTTTTTTTTTTTTTTTTTTTTAAGTTTATAATGGTCTCCATCCATGAATGAGTGAGACCCCGCTGCACCCTTCCCCCACCAACTGGCCCACCTCACCCAGCACAATGCTCTCCAGTTCCATCCATGCCCCCGCAAATAGCAAGAGCTCCCTCCTTTTCACAGCAGCATAGCATTCCATCGTGTAGATGTACCACAGCTCTCCAATCCATTCATCCACCGATGGGCACCCAGGCGGCTTCCAGATCTCAGCCATGGCAAATTGTGCTGCTATGAACACACGGGTGCACACATCCTTTCTCATTGGTGCCTCTGGTCTCCTGGGGTACATTCCATTTGCAACGGCATGGATGGAACTGGAGAGCAGCATGCCAAGTGAAACAAGCCAGTCGATGAAGGAAAAACACCACATGATCCCACCCACCCATGGACAACAAAGACCACCACAAACTTATGAACAAAAATACATACACCGGCAGAGCTGCCTCAAACAGACTGTCAAACTGCAGCGGGAAGGCCGGGGAAGGTAGGGGGGCGGAAGGGGGGGTGGTAAGAGATCAACTGAAGGACTTATATGGATGCATATAAGCATAACCAATGGACATAAGACACTGGCGGGTAGGGGAGGCCAGGGGATTGTCAAGGGTGGGGGAAAAAAGGAGGCATATGTAATACCCTTTGTAATACTTCAAGCAATAAAAATAAATAAATAAATAAATAAATAAATAAATAATAAAAACCACGAGGGTTCAGTCCTACTGCTTGGTTCGGGAGGCCTCAGCATTGGCCCAGAGCACAGCCCCTGGGGATGGGTAGGGACGTTGCTGGAAGAGGGGCCCGGTGGCTGTCATGTCTGCACCCGTCTTAGCCTCGTTCCACTTGGGGAGTCCTGTTGACCAGGTGCCCCAGGGTGCATCTGAGTATGCGCTGGGGTCCATTGAGTCTAACTCTTCATCCTTCCAGCTTGAAACCTTCTTGCTCTTGGGGTAGGGAGCCAGCTCTTTCCGGCGATGGTGGCGCCGTTCTTTGGCCTCTTCCCTGTCCACCTTGTCATATCCACGGTCAGGGTCCCTGTCCCGGTCCCTGTCCCGATCCCTGTCCCGCTCTCTTTCTCTGTCCACCTTGTCATAGCCACGTTCATGGTCTCTGTCTGATTTCTCGTGGCTCCGGTCAGACTTCTCGTGGCTCCTGTCGGATTTCTCATGGCCCCGGTCCGATTTCTCGTGGCTCCGGTCCAACTTCTCCTCAGCATCTGCATTATTGTTCCTGAGTTTCTTAGCAGATTTGGTAACGATGGAGTTGGAGTCATGTGGGGAGAGCCAGGACACCAGGTCTGTGTCCACATTCCAGTAGTAAGGGAGTCCGCAGGAAGGGTCAAACACCTTGTACCAGTTGGGTGGCAGGCCCTCCAACTGGGTGGCCTCATAGTCCACGGGATCATCATCGTAGTCCTCAGCAATGATCTCTTCCTCTGGTTCTAAATCTGTCCTGTTCCTGGGTTCAGATAAGACAGGGATGGGGAACCTTTTTCCGGGCTCTAGATGTTTGAGGATGCCTCTCTTGGCCAAGCGGGTCTGCAGAGCAATGGGCAGCGGCATAGCGAGTAGCAGGCAGATGCAACGTCCCCCAAAGACTGCTGGGTGGGAAGAACCAAAGAGCCAGGATGGGGATACACAGGGGAGCACGTCCTCCGGCTTCAAAATATGCACATCCCTCGACGTTACCAAGAGTCACGCAGGTACGGGACGCTGTCAGACAGGTCGCATCCCTGTCATCGCCACTAGAATCACCAGGACCACGTGACTCTTTCCTTCCAAAGCACAGAGCTAGACCGTCTCTCCCAAATCTGAGGGTCCAGGCTTCAGGTCCCTGTTCGGGCACCAGATGTTGGGGTCCAGCCCCAGCAGGTCCAGGGGTTCCCAAAGGTGTGGACGGAGTCAGCAAAGAAGGAATGACATGGAGGCAGTGTTCAGGTGATCAGCAGCCTAGCCAGGTTCTGTAGCCAGATTCTAGCCAGGTTCTCCAGCCAGGTTCTCCAGCCAGGTTCTGTGTCCCAATTGTAGGACTTCAAACCCATAACCATTAACAGTAGCCTCCCTTTCCCAGTGCCCCTCCCTGTCCTCCTGCCCTAGCCCCAGGCAGTCATTAATCTGCTTTCTGTGGGGAGATGCCTCCAGGGATATGCTTATGGGTGGGGAGCATTTCACAGAAATGCAGTCAAAAAATACCACAACCTTGGTACATCTACACAATGGAATACTACACTGCAGTAAAAAAGAAGGAACTCTTGCCATTTGCAACAGCATGGATGGAGCTGGAGAGCATTATGCTAAGTGAAATTAGCCAGTCAGAGAAAGATAAATACCACATGATCTCACTCATTTGTGGAATATAGAGAACAACATAGACTGATGAACAGGGACAGATCCAAAGACAGAGAAACAGGGATCAGACTATCAATCCCCAGAGGGAAAGCAGGGGAGGGTGGAGGTAAGGGAAAGAGATCAATCAAAGGACTTGTATGCATGCATATAAGCCAAACCAATGATCATGAACAGGGGGATGAGAACATGAATGGCGGGGGGGTGGGGGTTAATAGGGTCATGAGGACACATTTGTAATACCTTAACCAATAAAGAAATTAAAGATTAAATAAAATAAAATAAAAAACATTCATGAGAATGTTTAAAAATTGGACCCCTCAAACATTGCTGGTGGAAATGGAAAATAGTGGGGCCATGTTGGAAAAGGAGTGTCACCAGTTGGCCCAGAAATTCCACTTCTAGGTACATACCCAAAAGAAATGGAAACATGTTCACACAGAAAAACTTGTACGAGGGGTCCAGGTTATAAAGCAACATTCAAAGGTTCTAGAAACTAGGATGTGAATATCTTTTAGGGGACTTTTTTTTTTTTTTTTAGTTTATTATACATGCCAAGCAATTTATTCATTCTCTCAGCCTCAGTTTCCTCCTCTGGAAGTGATATATGCAAATATATGTAAATGAGAGGCCTGATCTGCTGGCACTGCTAGGTGTGGAAGGCAGGAGCCTGAAGAGCATTTTGTCCTGGACGGATGAGTCCTGACACTGCTCCTTTCCCAGGTGCACATCCCCATCAAATTAGCAGGAGTCCCTGGCAGGGACATGATGGTAGGGAAAGGAACCCAGCTGGGAACCCTGAGACTTGGGTTCAAATCCCAGCTCTGTCAGCCACTGACAGTGTGACCTCAAGCAAGTCGCTTTCCATATCTGGGACACAGTACAATTTCAAGAAACACATGTACGTTAGTCCTGCCCTAGGAGAGCACTGGGGAGGCACCTCTTGCCCGGAGGTTTATGATTACAAATGTTTTTATGTCAGTGTCTTCCTATTGGCTAAAGGATCTAGTCTCTCCTAGCAACAAGGGTACATTTTAATTAGAGCCCTGTGGAAGCAGTGACCTCTCTCAAAGGAGCGCCAGTCATGGTGGAGGTCCAGGCACTGTGGCTTTTGGGGGTGAGGAGAAGAGAGGAAACCTCCTGTTCCGCTTGCTTTCTCCTGGGGCCCATTGGTCTAGGCCAGGGTTCAGCCTGTGCTTGAATAACCCGTGAACTAAGAATGCTTTTTACAGATGAGCATGTGCAATCGATGTGATGGGAGGGAACACTAACGTTGAGCCCCAGTTAAGTGAAATGTTATCCTCCGAAAAATTCCAGCTTCTCATTAGTTGACTTGTATTACAATTTCGTATTCAATTATTTACTTTGAATTTGGTCCATTAAAATTTTATGGAAATTGTTTCCTTCCTTGTTATATAAGAACCTACCTAATAGCCACAATTTGCCTCTTGGCCAGCAAAGCCTCTACCAGCCGCCACTTACTCAGTTGCCCTATGTTCCCTCTCAAATCTGTCTTGAGCCATTCATGACTTTGGAGCCAGGAGGAGCTCCCCAGTGTGGGTCTGACAAAATCATTCCTCTGATGAAAACCCAGTGGTTTCTTGGTGCTCTCTGGCTCCTTGGCTGGCGTACAGCCCTTCCCAGTGTGACTCCTGCCTTCCTTCTGAGCTACTCCCTACCCCCTGCAGCCTCCTGAGCTTCTTCCTGTTCCCTAGGACACCTTGCTTCCCCCAGAGCCAGCGTTTTATACAAGCTGTTCCCTCCGGCTAAAAATGCCTTTTACCCTACTCCCCTCCACCCAAATCCATTTTCTTGTATATATTATTTCTTACATATATTATTTATTGATTTCAGAGAGGAAGGGAGAGAAAGAGAGAGAGAAAGAGAGAGAAACATCACTAATGAGAATCACTGATCAACTGCCTCCTGCACGCCCCCTACTGGGGACCAAGCCTGCTACCTGGGCATGTGCCCTGACCTCCCGGTTCATAGGTTGACACTCAACCACTGAGCCATGCCGGCTGGAAGGACGGTCACATTTTTTAAATGCCTGTGCCCACTAACAGACTGGGAGCCCCAGCTCAAGTCAGTTTGACTCTGCACTGATGCCCTTTGCTTTCCACTGACAATGCTCCTGCTGGTTCCTACCATTTGGGAAGGGAGCAGGCTATCAGGCAGGGGCTGGGACTACCCATCAGGAAGCCCAGTTCATTTCCTTCCCTGGATTGCAGATCAGATCCTTGTCTGTACAATGGAGACAGGGCCCCCTGGCCTGCTGATGGTGTAAGGCCTGGGTCAAAGGTGGGAGTGGAACCTTAGGGGACGTGAAGGGGCGGGCGGGGGGCGGGGGGCGGCGGGGCTGAGCTTCCAGACACTTTTGTCAGTCCTCCACAAGCAACCCCAGACAGACACAAGCTTGGGCTCTGGGCTCTGGGCTCTGGGCTCTGGGCTCTGGGCTCTGGGCTCTGGGACATTCCAGCCAAAGGTCATTCCTCAGCAGCCAGCTGCCACTGGCCACGGCCTGGACTCTGCCTGCCCATCCTCCTACTTTTCCCTCCCCCAAGCAGGAATAAAAAGAACCTTGTCTGGGAATGCTTCTGGGATGAGCTCAAGTGAGCGTGCATGTCTATGGATATGTTTCTCCAAGAGCATCCATGTATGATCTGGGTCTGTGTGTGCACGCGTAGTCACAAAGGGGTGCTCCTGTGTCCCGTGTGTCCGAGCGTGCATGGGTGTGTGGTGACTCTGTGCATGTATAAAGGCAGCAGTGGAGGGAATGGAGGAGAGTCAAGTCCCCTCAGCCCTGACACACTGTGACATCTGGTTCTTTGGGGCTCTCCTGACACTGTACCCTCCATTCTTACTCCAAAGTGCCCACAGGTTTCAGGCTCCCCATTGACAAGTGCCCTCCCCTCTTCTGTCATGGATCCCATGCTGCTGAGAAAGACCCAGAATCCTGAAATATTAGGATGAATCCTGAGGGTGGTGCAGGGGACATGATCCGTGCTCCACCAGATTCCCTTTGATCACTGCTGTGGACCCCTCTCTGTACTTCTGTTGACTTTTCTTCCAAACCACCTGCCCCTGCATCTTTTCTGGGCTTGCCTAGGGCCACTGAAGACACTGTTCCCCACGTGCAGAGTATGGTAAACACCTGGAGTTATACCCCACCCCCCTTCCCTTAGTGACCCACCCCAGTGACCCTTAGCCAAGACTAACTGGTGAAAGCCAGCTTCCTCGCTCTGAGCCGGAACAAACTCCAGGCATCATTTTTGCTCCAGGGATCTGGCTGAGGCTGTTTCTGGTCTGGCATCACACCCTGTTTAGTTTCTTCCCCTTCCTTTTCCGGCTGCAGGCATTTCCTCAATAAACCCGTCTCACAGGATTCCTCATGACCAGGTCTGCTTCTAGGAAACTTGACCTAAAACAGGGCGATGGGCTTAGAAACAACCCCTCCCACCCCCACTTGGGCAAGCTGTGCTCTTGCCCTTCATCTCTGTGGCCCCATGTGCCACCCTACTCCCCGCCTCCCCTGCAGGGGGCGGCCCTCTCTGCAACACCCCCAACAGCCCTGGGGTAGGAAGGTTTTTTAATCCTGCTTGGGTCCCCCTTTCCTGAGGGTGTCTCCTTGGAAAAGGAAGCAGTCCCGGTCGGAGAGCAGGCAAAGAGAAACTTTCAAGGAGAGGTCAGGGAGACAAGAACTGCTCTGCTCACACCCTTCACCACACTGCCTTCAAGGGCGCACAACTAGGGGGCAGATGGGGCTCTGGCTGACAAAGTCTACACCTTGTCTTTCTCAAAAGAGGCCTCCGGTGGTAGAAAGGGCCCTATTCTGGGAACTGGGAGACCTGGCTGCCCTCCACATCGCCTGGCTGAGCACCTTTGAGGGAGCCTGGTGACTCTCTGAGGGATGCAGTTTCCCCATCGGTGGGGGGCCCGCCTCGGGGCAGGGGATCCATGGCATTTGGAGCACAAGATCCGAGCTTCAAACCCACTTCTTACGGCATAGCACTCCCTGAATGAATGAGCCGGCAGCATCTTCATTTCTTCCTTTGTCCATGTTGATGCCTGCAGGACTGACCTCATGGCAAGTTGGGAGAATTACATGAGATAACGCCCGCAGAGCACTTGGCAGGTCCCTGGCACATGGCGAACTCTGGGAGCAGGTGACTATTTTTGCTCTTGTTGTGTACCAGCCAGGGTTGCATAACCAGCTGGGTCCTGTGGTCTTGCT